TAAAAGAAAAGTTATAAAAGAAAAGAAGTCGCCCTGGCCAGATAAATAAGTAAATATTGTTAACAATTAAATTGTACTTTTGTTCTCTCCATTCTGATTCCTCTCATCACCACCCGCTTTTCCATTCTGCCGCCCAACATGCACGCGTACTCAAAATTTTGTGTTCAGTCCTCAACATTTCATGACTTATATTTCTATACTCCTTGATAGCCAAAGCTCTCTGGGCAGCAGACTCAGGTGAAAATGCTCACTTAAAAACCATAGATAGAGAAACATAAACATATCCAGTGCATAAAGAGACAGACATGGATCTAAAAACAATTTTATATAAAGCATAAGAGAAACATTCAGGACCTGATGAAAGACCTCATCATATGCTGCCAAATGCCAGAGAAGAAGATGCTGAAAAGATAACAATGTTGGCATCTGATGGGCCTCGTCTGGAAGACTGTGGGGCCACCACTGGCAAGACCCCTCGCTGCAGCTCATGGGGCTGTTTTGCAGGTTATTTTTCCCTTAGGGTTTTTTATTTTTTTAACTGTTCAGCAGATCGGCAAACTTTGGCATTCCCCCAAGGCTAGTGATACCTCTCTCTTGCACATGAGTACCACCATTTTGGCTATAGAAGTTTCACCACTGCAGAGTTGAAGACAGGAGATAAAGGGAATAATGGTATTTGAAAAGAGGGATTAAACAATTGAAGGTGGAATTCTATGCTTTCATGAGATCTAGTGTTCTTTAAAATCTTTTAGATGCTAAACTAAATGGGTTTTTTTTGAAAGCCATCCAGAGACTTTTAGTATTGGGATGGCATATAATAACTTTAAACAGTCAAACAGTTTTCTCTTTTTGTATATTGGAATTTTAGGCTGTGCTTTATTATATTTGTATTTTGATTGTATCTTTTGCACGTGGATTAATTGGTGTGAACTGCCCAGAGAGCTTCAGAAATGAAACCAATAAGCAAATGAATAAATGGGATGTCGAGCGAAGTCTTGAAAGGACAAGCTCCCAGCCCACTCACTCCAAGTCAGCAAGGAATGGACCGTGCGGGCTGCACCTTCCGGGGTCTTGAGGAGACCCTGGAGAGGCAAAAGCAGGGAGTTCCGGGAGGGCAAACAGCTAGTGCTGTGCACATGCGTCCTGGCAGGATTCCCAGGTGCATATGAGAAGCTGACCATTTTGGTGGGACTGGCAGCTCAGACTTGGCGGGTGAGCTGTACAGAGGGGAGCGGGCCGGTCCGGGCAGGGCGGATAGCTCAGGCTCCGATAAGGAGAAGGCTGCTGAAATGGACGCAGCTCCCCTGGGTACTTGCCTTTACCTGCTGTGGGAGAGATTAGTTCAATGGCAGCCGAGGGGCCCAGTCAACCCACCCTTGGGAACGAGGAAGAGCAGCAGCATTGCAAGGGGGGAGATTTAAAGATGGGGAGTCTCTGGCACGAAGTACTGCAGCCTTTAAGGAAGTGGACCCAAAAGTCCACTGACACAGTTGTAGAGTGGCCCAGTTCGGATCGCAGAGGGAGGAACGCAGGCGTGCCCGGTTCCACAGCGCTCCTCCCTCCCCTCCTGAGACAGGCACAGAAGGACTCTTAAGCAAAGCTTTGGGTGAAGGGGGCAGGAGAGGGTCCATCTTTTGCTCTGTGTATGCTCAGAGACTTGTGTAAAATAAAGACATTTATCAAGATGTACTGGTGAGTCTGTTACTGCAGGGAGGGAATGCTAGAGCTGTGGAGTTAGGGAAATTCCAGTCTGTGCCCAGCCTTCTCCTCCCCAGCACTGACTCTAGGTGGCCAGGAATGGATCTGGGTCCCGGGGAAAGAGACTTGGGGCCGAGGCTGCATGGCCCGGCCTCAGCAATGCACCGGCCACCAAGCAAGGCACTTCAGAGAGTCCAAGATCTCAGGCACAAAAATGCACCTTCCCCTTACCCAGCAGGGCAGTCTCCAGGTGGCTGTCTTCTTGCTTGGTTCCCACGCAGAGCTGCCTCCCTTCGGCACCGGGCAAAGTCGGGTCGACCACGGGGCAACACCCTGCCTCCTCCTCCAACGTCACCTGCAACAGCAGAGAGGGTCCACCTCACGGAAAGCGAAAATCCTGGGCGGAACCAGGACGGACCTCACCGGAGCCTGTCCCTCCAGGATTCTGCAGGCTTCCTCCTGTGCTTGGCCTGGTTAGTAAAGCAAATTGAACTGACAGGAGGCACGCGCATGCTTGCAGAATGAAGGCTGTGCGATGGGAACCTTCCTCTGCATCAGCTGCAGCTGCACAAATGGCTGGAAGAGGGGCGCTGCTTCCGCAGCCAGTGTGGTCTGGTTCTTGGCACATGCCCTGCAAGTGGTGGGGATTTTCATCAGGAACTCAGACGTGGGGCTGCAACAGAGCAGTCCAGCTGGCGGCAAATCCTATGGATTCCCAGCTCCAGACCGGATTCCCCCACCCCTAGTTGTGGGAGGGCTGGACTAGGAGTGCTGCACCTCTTCTTGGTCCGAGGGCCAAGTTCCATTTTGGAGAAGCTTTTGGGGGCCACATCTTAGTGGTGGGTGGAGATGACAGGGCCTAAATGCCAAAAGGGTCAACTTAAGAGCAACGGCAATGGCATGGTGCAGCAGAGAGCACCATCGGGCATGGGAGGTCTCTCAGCATTGAATCACCAGAATGGGAACCACATGGCCTCACCTGGCATTCTCTTCTCCAGTCTACTTCCTGCCTCAAGGGGAAGTCCTTGGCCAAGGACACTGCCCAGGCTTTGGCTCTTGCTGTCCTGGGGGATGCTGGGAGTTGTAGTCCAGCCCTACTGTGGGGCACCAGGCTGACTTATGAATGGAAGGCCAGCTCAGGCTCTGTCTGACCCAGCCAGTGATGCCGTCTCACCTGGTCGGCCTGTCGCTGGTTCGAGTCCTGCCTCACAAGGAAGTCCTCAGCCAGGGCCACGGCCTGCGCGCAGGTCTCCGGGCCACGCTCCCGGACCCAGCTCTGGATCGGGGAGGGCAGGATGGTCAGCAGCTGCTCCAGGATCAGCTGCTCCAGGATCTGCTCCTTGGAGTGCCGCTCGGCCTTCAGCCATCGGCAGCACAGCTCCTGGAGCCGGACGTAAGCCACTCGCGGCCCCTCGGCCTCCTGGTAGCAGAAGCGCCGGAAGTGCTGGCGAACCTTCTCCCTGCTCAGGGCGTCCCCGCGCAAGATGGCCGCCTTCACTTTCCCATAATCCTCTTTGTCTCGGGCATCCAGACTGTGAAAGGCCTGCTCAGCTTCTCCGCTGAGGGCTGGCAGGAGCCGGGCCGCCCACTCCTCCTTGGGCCACCGGCAGGCCTCAGCCACCTGCTCGAAGGAGGCCAGGAAGGCCTTGGCGTCGTCCCAGATTACAGGCTCCTCAGACATGGGTGGGCTTCCCCAGTGGAAATGAGCAGACTCCACGGTCTTCAGGAACTCCTGCCACTGACTTTCCCACTCATCCGGTTCTTGTTTTACCTCTTCTCCTGGTCTCCTGAGAAATTCTGCAATACTCCCTGCTTGGAGCACATGTGGGGCTTCTCTTCGTCTCCCTGGAGACTTCTCTAGTTTGAAGCTCGTGTCATCTCGGGCCTCCATGGTTGTATCTCCAGGTGACTCACAAAGAGCCATTTATTTTAAAAAGTGGTGTGCCAAGCTTCTGTCTGGTTGAAGAGAAGGAAACATGTTAACAATGTTAACAGACAGAAGGAAATGCTCATCTTCATGTTGGCCTGACCTTTGCTTAAAAATAGAAATGCAGGGGAAGAAAAGATGCTGGTTGTCTCATACATTGATCCAAATTCTATGCACATTTAAATTAGCAGTTTGCACCTGTCCTACATTTGTGAATGCCTTACATGGCTCAGGACCACAATACTTGCTGACACGCCTCTCCCGGCCACACTCTGCCCAGACACTATGGTCAACATCTAGGGCCTTCCTCTGAGTGCCACCTCCAAGGGAGGCGCAGAAGGCAGCCACAGGAATGGTCTTCTCTGTGCTGGCCCCTTAACTTTAGAACGACACCCCTGCCCAGGCCAGCCTCACACTAACCATGTCATCCATTTGGCCCAGGTTAAGATGGCACTGTGTGATGAGGCATTTAAAGACATCCAGGTGTTGCAGAGTCACTCTTTTTAAATTATTCTTGGTATGGTTTGTCTTTATCATCAGTTTTAGCTGTTTTAAACTTTTTAAATTTTCTAACATTTTTACTGGATTTTTATTATTTGTCTTTAAGGATTGTGTAAACCTCCCGAAGAGGTTCGGTTGTTGGCTGGTATAGAAATGTAATAAATAAATAAATGCCTCAGAGAGAAAGGACCCACCATCTTATCAACAGGGACTGGAGCAAAAGGAAAAAAGAAGTACACATCTGTAATCTACAGATGCTGTAGTCTCTGTGTGCTTAAAGGGTCCCGTCTCCTAAAGATACCCCTATTTATTTATTTGTTGCATTTGTATGCTGCTCTGTAGCCAGAAGGCGCTCTAGGCAACTGACAGTGCAATCATAAACAATAAATGCAGGTAAAAATAGAAAATGCAGGTAAAAATAAATGAGTATAATAACCAAAACCATAAAACATAATAGATTAAAAATACAATATAATACAACAGGAGGTTAAACACAGTATAAACAAGAAAACAGCAGCAAGACCAATAAACATAACCTAAAATACTAAATAAAAAGGGCTTAACTTGGTGCCAAAGGCAAGGTAAAGCGGGTGCCAGTCGCACCTGCCTTGGAAGGGAATTGCAAAGGTGAGGTATGACAACCGAGAAGGCCCTTTTCCTCGCTAATCCCCCTTCACGTCATATGGGGAGGGTTTGCAAAGGAGTGACCTGAGTGGTCCGATAGGGGTATATGGAGACAGGCATTCCTGGTCCGTTTAAAGCTTTATATGTTTAGTGTGAGCACTTCGAACTGGGCCCAGGCAATGACAGGCAGCAATGCAACTGGTGGAGGACCGGTGTGATGTATTCTCTAGAGCCGGTCTTAGTTAGTAACTGTGCTGCTCTGTTTTGGATTATTTGAAGAGCCCGGATGTCTTCAAAGGCAGCCCCACGGAGAGCGCATTATGGTAATCCACATGAGAGGTAACCAGAGCATGGATAACTGTGGCTCCGCTCCGCTCATCCAAGTAGGAACGTGGCTGGAAAATCAGGCTAAGCTGATAGAAGGGGCTCCTGGCCACCTGGGAACAAGTGAGAGCTGAGGGTTCAAGAGCCCCCCAAGCCATGAACCTTCTCCCTTAGTTCAACCTCTGCTTAACCCAGGCTCTGCAATGCAAGGTGCCAAAAAAGCATCGCTGGCACAGGGGCGTCTCTCCACCCTCTGAAGGAAGACAGAAGCCATCGCCTTGGAGGAACCCTGCCCCACGAATGCTGAGCCTCTTCCCCCCTGGGAATGGTCCCAACACCAGTCCGCCTTCTTCCCCGCTTTTCACCCGCTGCTTCCAGTCCTGTGCTTGCTTGGAGCTCTGTCACGACTGGTGAACAGCCCCCTTCAGACCCTCACCCTCAGCCTCACCCTAAGCCTCACCCTTGCAGGAGAGCCAGAAAGGGGTGCAGGGGATGCTGGTGCCTCTCGCGGCAAGGGGGCTGCTGATCCCACTGCAGCGCTGACGCTCAGGAGAAAAGCTGCAATGGATGAAAAGCCCCGTCGAGACCCTGGAAGAAAGCGAGGGGCGGTGGTGCCCGCCCGGATCGAGGGCGGCCTGAGTGGGGGGCCGCCCCCCCCCCGACCCCACTCTCCAGGCTGCAGAGGCGTCTGGAGGAGGGACAAGGGAAGCAGGCCAGGCCTGCGGGGTCAGGGTAGAAGCAAAGCCCGGCCCGGGGGGGGCTCCTCTCCCCTTTCCTGCCCCCCTTCCCGGTGCTCCTTTCCCTCCCGGCCTCTCTTGGAGACGCCCCCCCCCCGCGGCCCCGCACGCTCACCGCCTCCAGGCGCCCCCAGCCCCGGCTCGCGCTTCCGCTTGGAAGTGGGGGGCGAGGGGGGAGCGCCTTTCCCACCTCCCGGCGGGCCTCTCTAGGAAGGGCAGCTCCTTCTGCTTAACCCTTTCCTCCCAAGGCAGGGCTCGGAGCTTAGAGTGCCAAGCTAAGCCTGTGCAGAGGAAGGGGGGCGGGGGGGGAGAAGTGGGGGGGGAGAGAGAAGGGGGCGAGGAAGGACAGGCTGGCCGGGCAGGCTGCCAGTTGTAACCACTTTTAGTAGCTATTTCTTCTGGTGCTGTTGTGAACCTCCTCTGTGTGCTAGTTGCTGGGGAACATGGGCGGGAGGGCGCAGTTGCACTCAGGTCGTGCGTATGGGCGTCCCAGGCGCAGCCCGGTGGCCACAGTTTGAGCAGAAGCCTGGTCTGATGCTGCAGAGCTCTTCTAACGCGCTTCAGAAAGGCACTAGTCCTCATGGAATCAGAAGCCACGTGTATATGGGGAAGTAGGGTGGGGGAAGTTGGGTGGGAGGGTGCTGTTGCACTGCTGTCTTGCTTGTGGATTTCCTGTGCGCACCTGCTTTGCTGGACTGGATGGATCTCTCTCTGATCCAGCATGTCCATTCATTCATTCATTCATTCATTCATTCATATGCCACCTTTAACTGACAAAGGCCTTCCTAGGTGGCTTACAAGTAACAACATATTAAAACCTATTAAAACAGGTAAAAGAATAACATCAACAACAATAACCTCCTGCTTTTAAATAAGGGGCTAGTTCTCATGGCTGTATGGTGCCTCCAGTACCTAAAGCGGTATGCCTATGCACCCCTAGCTGATGCAAGAGTCAAGTTGCGTTCATCTGCTCATCTCTTGCTTATGGGATCCTGAGGACAGCTGGCTGCCCCTGTGGGAATGGAAGGCTGCCCCTGTTGAACTTCGCTTTGATCAGCCCGTCTCATCAAGTGCCTTTATAGTAAGGCAGCTTCCAAAGTTACACTAGCTCAAGTAGCGTCATTGTGTGCAACCAATATGCTGTTTATCATACATATATGCTGTTTATCATGCAGTTTTTCTAATGCACAATAATCTATTGTGTTCTCAAATAATTGCCCTTATCTTGGGGCATCTCCAAATCTCCCCCTCCCCTGCCAGTGCATTTGATCTTAAATGAAGAACAAGCTTCTAGACCTCATGGCTATGGACCACCTGCAGCGGCAGAGGTAGCATATCTATGGATATCAGCTGTTGGGGAACATGGGAGGTAGGGTGCTTTTGTGTTCCTGTCTGGTTTGCTTTTCATAGGCAGTGTGGATGGGCCTTTGCCCTTATCCAACAGGACTCATGCATTTTTAGTCACAAGGTCAGAGGACAGCTCTGCTGACTTTTCTGAAAATCTTTTGGATATACTACCAGGGATGGGTGGCTGGCTAGAGCCATTTTTTCCTTTTCATTCAGTTCTCTGCCTTGGTTTGGCCTTGTGAAGCTCACCAAGGCTGCCATTTGGGTCCTGCCTGCTTGGAAGACTCAGGTCAATGGCAGGTTGACTGAACGTTTGCTATTTCTTTGCCTAACGTTGTTTTCCAACATGCTCCCCTCCTTGCATCCCTTTTCATTTCCTCTTTTCCCTCTTGCCACTGCAAATAAACATTACACCAATTCCAACGTTTCTCTGTCCTTCCTTCTCATTAAGTTTTAGTACTAAAAACAGAGCTATTTGGTTTAATTGCTGCAGTTTACAATTTCAGGCCTTGACGAGAAGCTGAGTTTGGGTGGGATTGATAGCTCCGAGTCTGGGAATGATGGGGAGCTGGCTGACCCAGACAGGGCTAAGAGCTCAGACTCTGATAATGGAATGGTTGCTGTAATGGGCAGCCCTCCCGCTGCAGCCCGTTTCTCAGTTCGTCTGTGTCTGCTCAAAATGAGATTAGTTCAAGGACAGCCATGGGGCCCAGACCACCCTCCCATGGGAATGAGGAAGAAAACGAACAACATCTGGAGGTAGGGGATTGGGAAATGGGTCGTCTCTTGGATGGAGAACTCCAGGACCCAAGGGCCCATCGTCACAGCTGCAGGCTGGCCGAAATGGGGGCTCAGAGTGCAGAACGCAGGCGTGCCCCCACAGGGCCCCTCCTTTCAGAGAAAGTCCCTGAAGGGTTCATAAGTAGAGTTTTGGGTAAAGGGGGGCAGAGAGGGTTCAACATCTCACTTTGTGTATGCTCAGAGACTTGTGCATGTTTCGAGTCTTCTTTGTAGAATAAAGATGCTTACAAGAAGTGCTGGAGAATCTGCCTGGCTGGGGAGGGAAGACCTCATGACCCCGGTTTGGAGTCTTATTCAGGTAGAGGCAACCCTTTTCAAACTGCGAGCACATTTGGGGATTTGAGAAACTGCAGTGGGCACGACCACAAAGGCTTAGCACGAGCCACTACTCTGGCGTCTGTTACTTGCACCTGCGGATCACAGAGTCACGTTCAGCAAAAACTCCTCTTTTGTGTCTGTCAGACACAACAACTTCTCTTTATTTTATTTATTGATTAGGGTATTTCTAACTTGTCCATTATGGTTTGTCTCTGGACAGCTTACAATATAAAACACCTAATAAATACATCATAATAAGGGGTTTTGTTTAATTCCTCTGTCAGTGCAGAACAATTCATCTTCCTTTACGTGTATGTTTTGGCTATCTCCAGTCATTGCTTTAATTTGGGAGGTTATTATACAGATACATTTTCTATTGGTACAATCTTTACTATTCATTGATGGGGCGCATTCTTTTAATTGTGTGCCTGTTTCATGGCAATTGGCAAATGGAAGGGGAAATGGGCCTCTGTGACCTTTGGAAAGCCAAAAGGCAGATATTTTAACAGTGGAAGGAGAAACACCTCCAATCACGCAATGGACTGAGGACCTTACAAAGCTTTTGGTACAAGAACAGGTGGCATAAAGAGGTGCCAACTTGAATTGGAGATGTATTTGGATATTTGGTCTGCGTTTCTTGAAACCTACGCATCAGTGTGAGAAAGTTGTGGGCACATCACACAAGTCCATGTGGATGTTTTTTTAACAACCGGCCAAAATATAAAAACAATTTTTGGGTGCCCATGGCGCTCGTGTTGGGGAACCTTCACAGGCCCCATTGGAAGTGTCTGCAGAAGAGGATGGAATAGAAGTAGAGTTAGAAGGGGTCTTAAGGGGTTTTCCCAGTTGTAATGTATGGCTGTGAGAGTTGGACCATAAGGATGCTGAGCACCGAAGAATTGACACTTTTGAATTGTGGTGTTGGAGAAGATGCCGGAGAGTCCCTTGGACTGCAAGGAGATCAAACCAGTCAATCCTAAAGGAAATCAATCTGGCTGTTCTGGACTGAACAATCCTGGACTGAAGCTGAAGCCCAAATTCTTTGACCACCTAATGAGAAGGAAATACTCATTGGAGAAGATTCTGATGCTGGGAATCATTGAAGGCCAAAGGAGAAAGGGAAGGCAGAGGTTGAGGTGGCTGGATGGAGCCACTAGGGCAGTGGGTGTGGGCTTGGGTGGACTCCGAGGGATGGTGGAGGACAGGAGAGCCTGGAGGAATGCTGTCCGTGGGGTCATGAAGGACATGATTTTGAGATCAAACAACAACAAAAGGCCATTGAGTCCAACCCCTTGCTCTACTTCCACATGTGGTCTCCCATCCAGCTGCAGTACTGAGCCTTTCTAGCTTAGCAAAGCTTGCTCCATGTGCTAGCTTGCTGTATGGCTATGCAGGCAGGGAGGTACTGTGGCTCTTTTGGGGACTATGCCGATGACTCCAGTTGTAAGATCTGGGAGTTCCCTGGCTCAGGCAGAGGTAAGGTCCAGTAGCAAACTTCTTTGGTGTTTGTCCTTGCAGACATTGCAGGGTTGTTGTTGTTTTGTGCTGTCAAACCATCTCTGACTTATGGCGACCCTATGAATGGAAGCCCTCCAAAATTCCCATCAACCCTAGGGAGTCAACGAAGGTTGATGAAATCCACAGTGAAGACCGAGGAGAGCTGCCAGGGACAACGCCCGAGTTGTCTCCTCTTTTCCTACACCAGACTGAAGATCCGAACAGCTCCACATTTTACAGGTTCAAGAATTCTTTCCCTAGCAGGAAATGGAGGACATAATTCTTGCAGCAGCCACAGAAATAGGTAAATACAGGTTCAAAACCAGCATTTTTAAATGCTTTATTTTATATTCATATAAATAACATATAGGAGCCTTTGGAAAAGTGTGACATGATTTCTGATAAGGGCAAACGTAGGGCTGGGGATGTGTCGTTTGAAGAAAAGAGAATGGGACCACACGGTGTGGGAGAGATCAGGAAAACGTCTTCCTGTTTAGAGATGGCCTCTTCCTTCATCCCCTATAGGGGCGAAGGTGGCCAATAGCCTGATCCATGAGATTAACAGAGAGCTTTTGATGGACTGTTTTCCTCATCTCAGGAAATTCACCTGCTTCTTGAGCCCCATACATCTTGACCACCAACTTGTCAACTGCCAAGGCAAGAGAAACAGCAGAGTTAGGAAAGAACAGATGTCAAACAGTAATTTTTAAAGTACACTGGATTAACTTGGGTACTTAACTGTAACATATGCTTCAGGCACCCCCAAGAAAGCTAAGCTATCCATCCCT